GGAAAATCTCCTTTACCACCAGTCTCTCTCTCTCTTTTTTTTATTTTTTATTTATTATTATTTTTTATTAGAACACATAAAAAATCAGTCCCACATAAAATAACAGTCCTTATAGTCAAAGCACTGCGGCAAATTCCAGGACAGAGTTTTTGTCCTGACCCTAGCTAGCCGTAGGACAACTGTGGGTATTTTATTGGCACTTTCACACCTGGGCTGTCATCTCTGTTATTAAGTGGCAGAAGGGTGAGGCACCAAAGCCTTTCTTCTGAACGGGCTCAGAAGGCTCCAGAACAGATTCTGGACAGGCTTGATTTCAGGTTTCAAATGTGGACCTTCAGAATCTTAGCTCAGGTGAAACTCAATCAGCCAAAAGACAAAGAACACCAAATCCATCCTCAAAGTGCCTGTTGTTTTCAGAGTGAATGTTATCACAAAACTTTTGAACGACATTTCTTTTATAAGTAATAAAATTGACTGAGAGTTTTGGTTGGATTAGTTAATAGGACACAAGACCTGATCCAAGATGAGCAAACCGTTCTTCACAGCAAATCCACTTTATATACTCATTATGTGTCAGTACCCTGACAGTATTTTCCAAGATAATGGTCGCAGTGTTTATAAGGTATCTGAACATAATAATTTTTACTGAAGCAAAATAAAATATGTGGGGCACGATGGCTCACACCTGCCATCCTAGCATTCTGGGAGGCCGAGGGGGGAGGATCGCTTGAGTTCAGAAGTTCGAGACCAGCCTGAGCAAGAGCGAGACCCCGTTGCTACCAAAAAAAATAGAAATAGAAATTAGCCAAACAACTAAAATTACAAAGAAATTAGCTGGACATCTAAAAATATGTAGAAAAAAATTAGCCAGGCATGGTGGCGCATGCCTGTAGTCCCAGCTACTCGGGAGGCTGAGGCAGGAGGATCGCTTGAGCCCAGGAGTCGGAGGTTGCTGCGAGCGAGGCTGACGCCACGGCACTCACTCTAGCCTGGGCGACAGAGTGAGACTCTGTCTCAAAACAAAAACAAAAACAAAAGAAATTGATGGAAAACTACTGACCTTCAAAAATGGCCTATCGCCCGGCGCGGTGGCTCACGCCTGTCATCCCAGCACTCTGGGAGGCCGAGGCGGGAGGATCGCTCGAGGTCAGGAGTTCGAGACCAGCCTGAGCAAGAGCGAGACCCCGTCTCTACTATAAAGAGAAAGAAATTAATTGGACAACTAATATATATATAAAAAATTAGCTGGGCATGGTGGTACATCCCTGTAGTCCCAGCTACTCGGGAGGCCGAGGCAGGAGGATGGCTTGAGCCCTGGAGTTGGAGGTTGCTGTGAGCGAGGCTGACGCCACGGCACTCACTCTAGCCTGGGCAACAAAGCGAGACTCTGTCTCAAAAAAAAAAAAAAAAAAAGGCCTATCAATAACAAGCAGACGGTGGAGGCACATTGATTATTATTATTTTTTAACAGTGTGGTTCCGCTGCGTTCCCGGAAATGTCAGGCAGCCACGGGAATACCAGAATAAAACCCAACGACAGGCGGATCACCTGGGTCTCATGACTCCCTCCTCTGGGACAGGCGTGGCTGCCGGCCACCTGTGCCGGTCTGACGTCAGGGCTCAGTGCCACCTGCATCAGCATCACTAGGCTTTCCAAAGCCACCGCTCACAATGAGATGTGCAAGGAGACGGCACGCCACTGTCACCACAGCGGCTCTCGGGGTGTGGTCTCCAGACCAGCAGCACTGGCATCCCCCGGGGACTGGCTGGGGTTGGAGGCTGACGTCACAGCACTCTAGCCCAGGCAACAGAGTGAGACTCTGTCATGAAAAATAAATAAAGGCCAGGCACAGTGGCTCACGCCTATAATCCTAGCACTCTGGGAGGCCGAGGAAGGAGGATCATTCCAGGTCAGGAGTTGGAGACCAGCTTGAGCAAGAGCGAGACCCTGTCTCTACTAAAAAAATAGAAACAATTTAGCTGGACAACTAAATATATATATATCTATATATAAACTCTGGGAGGCTGAGGTGGGAGGATCACTCAAGGTCAGGAGTTCGAGACCAGCCTGAGCAAGAGCGAGACCCCGTCTACACTTTAATTTTTAAAAAATTAGTTACTAGCATTTCATGTTGGGAAATATCACTTAAAAATCCAGACTTCTGGCTTCTCCCCCCAGATTGAAAGCTTTGGCTTCGCCAGGCCTGTAATCCTGCAGGGCAACAGTCAGACGGAGGTCAGTATCACCTGCCCCCTATAGACCGGCATTCTTCAGTCCCCACTTTTTTCTGGCCTGCCACAGTCACTTGTGTTACCTGCCTGGCTTCTATAGTCACTTGAGACTACGACTTTTGTTTTAGAAGTCCACCGAGTACATATGACTCCATGTAGTCAAAGAAAATACGAAGAAAAACACTTTCACACTCCAACAAGGAGTTACCTTTAGGTCTGGTTGTCTGTAGGTCTAGTTGCTGACATATACTTGTGTCGATGTTTATCTGATTTAACAATGGTACCAAAACTGGAACTCGATTAACGTTAAAAGAACATTGTTTCTGTTTAACTCGACATTTTTTTCCCCCAGTTCTTTACTGTGGATACTGGGAAAAAAACACCATGGGGGAGGGTTTTTTTTTTTTTTTTTTTTTTTAGATATATTGGGGCAAAAAGTTTTCCCGCCTTTTTGTTTGGTCCTGAAAAATTGCAAAAAAAATTCAAAAACTAATTTTTTCCCCCCCCCCCACCCCCAAAAAATATGAAAACTGAGGTTTGGGGCCCCCCCTTTTTTGGTTTTGTTTTTCAAAAAACAAATCCCCCACTTTCTTTTTTTTTGCTTCCCTTTTTGTGTGGCCTTTTCGGAAGGGGCCCAAAAGGGGGGGGGTTTTTTTAAAAAAAAAGGTGGGGAGGACCCATAAATTTTCTCATGTTGCCATCTTGTTCCCCCCCCCTTTTGCAAAAAAACCCTTTTGGGGAAAAAAACATCTTTTTTCTTTTTCTTTTTACCCAACACTTTTTTTGGGGGGAATCTTCCCCCCCCCCCACAAAAACCCCCTTTAGAAGCTTTAACTTTGAGACCAAAATTTTCTCAAAAAATTTACCAATTTACCAAAAATAGATGATGTCCGACGTTTTAAACTTTTTGAAAAAAAAAAATGGTTCTTGCTCTCCGAAGACAAAACCAAAACAGGAAAATGGATAAGCAAAAAAAAAAACCAGAATTAAGAAATCGGATCAAAAAACTTTCCTTTTTTTTTAACAGGTTTTTTTCCAATTCTAGTTTAATCTTTTTCTGCGTTTATTATTATAGGGGGCAAACAGAAAAAGGAAAAGCTGCAAAAGTTAGTTGAAACTTCTAAAAAATGAAAACGCCACTGGGATTCCCTTTTTAAGTTGGATCCCCTTAAATCTAGATTTCCCAGAGGAACC